GGGACCCGGGAGATCTTCACTTGCTCTATTGACACAAACAGCATTCGTGTGAGTCGCCGTGATCAGACTACCCTTTCCAATTGCATCTGGAAACACCTGGAAGCTCTTTCTTCTCAGCCATCAGAGGAAAGATAGCGAGTTGGAAAAAAAAAATAGCACAAGGAGAAGGACTGGAGAATGTCTTGTGAATATACCTGTCGCGCTGACAAGAAGCTTGAGCCCGAATTTGGAACTCAAGAAGCCGCTTGGATGACAAGCGAAATGTTTATAGAGAAAACAACCGAGAAAGTCCAGTGGCCTTTTGGAGAAAAAAGCCCTTTGGGGACTTACTTGACCCTCACATCGCGCTCAGAAATCAGCTGTGCCATCCTGACAAAATCCTTTGGTCTTCCACTCCGACACGATCACCTTTCTTTCTTTCTTCTGAACTTGCAAACTTCGTTCTTTGAGAAAACTCAGAGATCGGGAACTTGGGAATTCTAGGCAGGCTGATTTCAAAGACGGGGAGGAAAGAGAGCAGCCAGACCCACAAAAAACACACAAAAAACCCCCAGCCCTCTCCTCTTCAAAGGAAAACCCAGGCCCCAACCTGGCAGGTGCACCAAAGATCTTGAGAACTTCTGCAGCCATCCCTTTGAAGACGAGTCCTGCAGGCCCGGAAGGGGTGGAACCCAAGCCTGAAATCTAAGCCTCCCTTCTCCGATTCCCTGCCTGTTTGGGACTAATGAATGTAACATGTGTGCGTGCACATAAGCACCCCCCCTGCCCAGTACACACAACACGTGTGCTTGGACACAATCAAGCCACAAGGTGTGAGATCAGAAGACCAGAAGACCCGCTTCTTTGTTCCTTAAACGTCTTCGGAGATTCTCACCCATCCAGGTCCTTGTTGTCCCAAAGGTGCTTTTTTTTTTTTTCAAGAGGCAACCGAACTTTCTGGGGTTTTTTTTGTGATGATGCGTGAGCGGTCCAGTTGCCTCTTGAAAATTATATATATATAAGAATATATATAAGAATATATAATATATAAGAATATATATATTCTTAAGCTTTGGCGGGTACTTACATGTATGGCATTCAGCTTTGTTCGGGTATTTTCCCACGTCGTTGTAGTTGTGCTTTTAAAGTTGCAGCAACGTTTCGGCAGAATCTCATCTGCCATCATCAGGCTTCTGTATTCTGTATTCTGCCATCACCGGGCTTCTGTATCTCTCAATACAGAAGCCCGATGATGGCAGATGAGATTCTGCCGAAACGTTGCTACAACTTTAAAAGCACAACTACAATGACGTGGGATTCTGATCTTGCAATAAAATTATTCCTCCCGTGTCCTGGGTCTGCTTAGATGTCACAATCTATTTACCCAGAAAGAATAAGTAGGGAATAGCATATGCAGATGACGCTTGGCTTGGTATCTCTGGATTACCATAGCAGTGAATATGGAAACTTCTATGAAGCAAACCATTTTTTTTTTCATTCCCTGCTCCGATGAAAATAATTCATGATTCAAGAAAACCGGGATATCTAATCGGGATAAACCTGTTGCATGAACCCAGCCACTTGGGACAGGGCTGTACAGATGCTTTCGAAAGCTAAGTGAAACCAACCTCTTTCTCTCTTTTTTTTCTTTCTCTTTTTTCTTCCTCTCCCTCTTTCTTTCCCTCTCTTTCTCTCTTACTTTCTCTTTTTTCTCTTCTTTTCTCTCCCTCTTCCTTTCTCTTTTGCTTACTTTCTCTCCCTCCCTTATTTTCTCTTATTTTTCTTTCTTTCTCTCTTCCTTCCTCTCTGTTCTTTTTCTCTCTCCTCTTTCTTTGCGGAAAAGGTTGTCATGTCTGGATCATTATTACTTCCTTCTCTCCAATTTTCAGAGACTGCCAGGACAAATCCCTGCAGATTTTGGGGGGTAATGGGTGGGAAAAGTTTTTCCAAAGTGACTTGCCATTGCCTTCCTCCTAAGGCAGAGGGTGTGTCTGGCCCAAGGTCACCTGGCAAGATGGGCCTAAGGTAGAATTAAAATTCATGGTCTCCTGGTTGGTAGCCCGAGGCCTTAACCGCAACACCAAACTGGCTCCATCTCGAATTTTAAAACACCTAATTTGGAAACAAGACACCTCTCTGCTTTCTCTGCTCTATAAACTTCTAAACAGATCCCTTCTTTCCACTCGCCTTCATTTAAAAAATCATTTTAATTTTTTAATTTTAAAAGCCTATTTTTTTTTATTGGACTATTTGCTCTGGTTCTTTGAGAGTGGATGGAGCTGAAATTTTTATGGCAGATGAGAATGCACTCCATTTTTTTTTTTTTTTTTTTGGCCTGGGGTTTCAGTTATTGGAATAATAGCGTTGCATCCTGGAAGTCGATTTCTTCCATTTTAAGAGTGCTTGCATGAACACGTCTGTATATTTCCATGTGTTTGGTGGAAGCTTCTCAGGCCCAGGGGGGAGTTTTGGGGGCCTGGAGGGAGGGGGAAAAACCAGGGAGGGTGATGCAAAGCTTGATGGGCCACCCATGGGTGCCCATTCCGGACACTTCCATGCCAAGGAGACAGATAGTAACATATAATAACAGATAGAGTTGGAAGGGACCTTATAGATCATCTAGTCCGACCCCTGGCCCAAGCAGGAGACCCTACACCATTTCTGACAAATGGCAGTCCAGTCTCTTCTTGAAAGCCTCCAGTGATGAAGCTCCCACAACTTCTGAGGGCAACTTCTGTTCCATCGGTTGATTGTTCTCACTGTCAGAAAGTTTCTCCTTATTTCCAGGTTGAATCTCTCCCTGTTCAGTTTCCACCCATTATTCCTTGTCTTGCCTTCGGGTACTTCAGAAAATAGCTTGACCCCCTTCCTCCTCCCTGTGGCAGCCGCTCAAATACTGGAAGACCGCTATCCTGTCTCCCCTGGTCCTTCTCTTCACTAGACTAGCCAAGCCCAGTTCCTGTAACCGTTCTTCATATGTTTTAGCCTTCAGTCTCCTCATCATCCTGGTTGCTCTTCTCTGCACTTTTTCTAGAGCCTCAACATCTTTTTTATAGTGTAGTGACCAAAACTGGATACAGTGCTCTAGATGTGGTCTTACTAAGGCTTTATAGAGTGGTATTAGTACCTCCCTTGATCTTGATTGTATCTCTCTCTTAATGCAACTTAGGATTGCATTGGCTTTTTTGGCTGCTGCTGCACACGGCTGGCTCCTATTTAGCTGGTTGTCCACTAAGACTCCAAAATCCCTCTCCCAGTTCCTGCTACTGAGTCTGGTTTCACCCAGTCTATATGGGTACCAATTCAACCAACTCAGGTCTTGGCTGGCTGTTCCCGTAAGTGGAGTAATCAGGGGCATGAAGTATGTCTGTGCATCCAGCCCCCCCTTCACCTACCCACCCACCCAATTCAGGCTCTGGAAAAACCACACATCGCCAGCATCCAGATTTAATAGCATTTGGTGAGTAACTGTAGTGCAAATATTGCTTCGAAGGACAGAGACAGGTGAGAAGGAAAACGTGCCGCCACCACCCCCGCCCCCGGATTCCAGAACAGTTTAGAAGTGGATCGAAGAGCCGGATTCTGGGTTCTGTCTCAGGTTAGGGGCCCAACTCGCTGTGGCCAACTCACCACGGGACAAGAGTTTACCCTAAGAGCCAAGAAACAGCGGGGACCGAATCATTCAAAGAAAGGGTGAAAAAGTCGGGACAGAACGAAAGGTGAATGGCAATGATTCAAACGGCTTTGTGTTCAATTGAATTGTTAAATTAAATTAGCTGCGGCAAGGGGAGGACCGTGGTGAATTGGCGGCGGAGAGCGGATGGTGGCGAATTGGCTGCAGCCAGTTGTCCTGTTTTGCAGCAAGGATGGTGGCGCAGGAGAATGTATACAGACCAGGAAGGGGTTTTCGTTACAATATTGGGGGGGAGGGATGATCCCCAGTTATGAATACTGCGGATGAAATACCCTGCCGTGACCTTCCCAAGAATTTAACCCTCTCCTTAGACATTTGGAAGGACGTTTCTGGAAAGCCTCAAATCTCTACTGCTTCTTGCTTTTGAAGTACAGTAGTCCTCAACTTACAACGGAGCCCCAAATTTAATGTTGCCGAGTTAAGGGAGCTTTCCCCCTCTTTCACGACTTTTCTTGCCACAGCCGTTAAGCGAATCCCTGCAGCTGAGTAACACCGTTGTTAAGCGAGTCTGACCAATGGTGGGATTCAAGAAATATATTTTTTTTAACTACTGGTTCTGTGGGCGTGGCTTAGTGGGTGTGGCTTGGTGGGCGTGGCAGGGGAAGGATACTGCAAAATCTACATTCCTATCAACCACACCTGGAAGCCGTAAAGGAGTCGTACAGGGCAGCTCCAGAGCAAACCCTGCGAAGAAAATGCTGGTGGGGGTTTGGATCTCTGATCTTTCGGGATCCTGATCCAGAATCCATTCTGGTCTGGAGGGTGGCTGGACATCAGGGAGGATGGAAAGAGAAGACCAGCACTGTCTCTCTCTGCCTTATCAGCTGTTGCTGCAGGAAAGTCCTTGACGGGGTACCATTCAGTGGTGGGATTCAAATATTTTACGACCGGTTCTGTGGGTGTGGCTTGGTGGGCGTGGTTTCTGGGCGTGGCTTGGTGGGCATGGCAGTGGTTAGAGTGCAGTACTGCAAGCTACCCCTACTGCAATTTGGCAGATCGAATCCCACCAGACTCAGGGCTGACTCAGCCTTCCATCCTTTTGAGGTGGGTAAAATGAGGAGCCAGATTGTTGTAGGCAAGAGGCTGACTCTGTAAACCGCTTTGAGAGGGCTTTAAAGCACTGTAAAGCGGTATATAAGTCTAAGCGCTATTGCTAGTGCTATACTGCAAAATCCCCCTTCCCTCCCCTCCCCACTAACCTGCTTTCCAGCTCCATTCTCCTGTGCAGGGCAACCAAAGAAGAGCCAGCCGATCAGCTGGGACTCAATGGGAGGCATAGAACGGATGGGGTTGGTGAGGCCAGTCAGAGGTGGGATTTGCTGGTTCTCCAAACTACTCAAAATTTCCACTACCAGTTCTCTAGAACCGGTCAGAACCGGCTGAATACCCCCCCTTGAGTCTGACTTCCTTGTTGACTTCACTCATCCGAAGGCCGCAAAAAAGGGATCTGCGGCCGTCATAACTATGGGCCAGTGGCCAAGCATCCGAATGTAAATCACGTGGACTACCGGGATGTCGCAACCATCTTAAGGGTCGGGGGGAAAAATGGTTGTAAGTCACTTTTCGGGTCCCGTTATAACTTGGAACAATCACTGAGCAAACTGTTGTAAGACGAGGATTACCCACGGGGGAGATGAAAGTTGGGGAACTGCCCAGCCATCTTGTAAGGGTTGGTGGCCCTTGTGACATCCGTGGAACACCAAGGGCGATGCCTTAGGAACGAAGGCACCGCGGACGGGTGCAAAAAAAAACCCCACCACCTCCCATTTTACGGGCGCGTAATTTGCACCTGCACAAAAACGTCCGAAACTCCTCTGCCAGACAGAACTGTGCACCCAACACTGGTGTGTGTGTGTGTTGTGTGTGTGTGTGTGTCTGCATTTACCAACTGTGGTGTACGAAAGGGGCCCTGAGGAGGGTTTCCTGTGCTAAGCACGGCAAGGAAGATGCCTTAGAAAGAGTGACACTCCACCTTACAGCTGCGCTGAATCTCATCCCCATTTCCTCCCAGGGAGGGGGAGGAACGATGGGAATTGTAGTCCAAACTTCTGGGAGGGAATTCTGCTCCAGCAACCCAAGCAAGGGTCCAAGGCATCACAACAAGCCTGTGATGTAGACTGGTGGTGGTGCAGTTACACGGATGCCCTCTTGGCTCCTTGCTGAGTGCGCTCACCCTCTCTGTGCCACACACCCTTCTCCTTTCTCCAGGGGGCTTCCAGGTCGCTGGGGCCTTGAGGGTCATCGTAGCCACCACCTTCAAGCATCTCCAGGAAGGGCTTCCTCTTCAGAAGATGAGACCGTGGTTGTGCAGCTTGGGGGGGCGGGGGCGGGGGAAACGTCGCTCCAGCCAGGTCACCGGAGCAGGATTTGGGACAAAACTGGGGAGGGGGCAGGTTTTCAGATCTGGGGGTTCATCTCCGTCATGCGGTGTCTACAAGGCAACGTCGGTGCTCCTTCCTTCCACGCCGTTGTGGGATGGGGGAGGTCTCCTGCCACCTTCGCAGCTCTCCTTGGGCTCTGGCCCGGCTCCAGGGGACGGGGTGGGTTCAGCTGAAGGGCTTCACCAGCTTCATGGCGGCGTAGTTCTGCAGAGAGGACAGAAGAACCACAGGGGAGTCAAGGCCCAGAGGTGCCAATCAGAGTAGGGACCCGTGGTGGGACCAAGCTTCTTCTAGAAAGGGCCAACGCCCACCGTAAATGGAGGTCGGTGGCTCTTCTGGGCCATAAACGTAAGAAGTAGTTTTGCCAGGAGAGGCAAAATGGCTTCCTTGCCAATTTTTAAAATTGTTTTAAATAGGATGCTTCCCTCCTTCCTTCCCTCTTTCCTTCTCCTTCCTTCCGTTCTTCTCTCCCTTCCACCTCCTCCCTTCCCTTCCTTCCTCCCTCCCTTCTCCTTCTTTCCTTCTCCTTCCTTCCCTCTCTCTTTCACCTCCTCCTTTCTTCCCTTCCTTCCTTCCTTCCTTCCTTCCTTCCTCCCTCCTCCTTCCTTCTCCTTCCTTCCTTTCTTCTCTCCCTTCCACCCTTCCTCCCTTCCCTTCCTCCTTTCTCCCTCCCTCCCTTCTCCTTCCATCCTTCCATCCTTCCTTCGCCTTCCTTCCTTTCTTCTCTCTCCCTTCTACCTCCTCCCTTCTTCCTTTCCTTCCTTCCTCCCTTCTCCTTCCTTCCTCCCTCCTCCTTCCTTCTCCCTCCTTCCTTTCTTCTCTCCCTTCCACCCTTCCTCCCTTCCCTCCCTTCTCCTTCCTTCCTTCCATCCTTCCTTCTCCTTCCTTCCTTTCTTCTCTCTCCCTTCCACCTCCTCCCTCCTTCCTTTCCTTCCTTCCTTCCTTCTTCTTCCTTCCTCCTCCTCCTCCCTTCCTTCTCCTTCCTTTCTTCTCTCTCCCTT